ATTTTTGTGTTTCGGCTTATCTTCTTATCTCTAAACATGTTTAGAAATGTTTTAGAAATACACTTTCATTTCTTCTGTTGACTAGTACTCAAAAATATTTGAATGTTTTAACCTCTTCGAAACTGTGTGCATCTATTGTTAGTTCTGTCATTTATGCCTCCTTTTTGCTTACATTTATGTATTTTGTTTTATTTTCATTTATTTCTAGTCCTCTCAGTTTGGCTTCGTTTTCTATTTCTTGGAAGGTTTTCTCTACTGTCATTTCTCCATTTTTTATTATTATTTTTGTTCTGTCTCTTCCGGTGTCTATTGTTGCTTGGAAATCTCGCATTGTCATTTCTATCATTTTTATAATGTTATTTGGTATATTGCTCTCTTGTAACTTTGTAATCTTGTACTTTCCAAATATTGTATTTAGAAAAAAGAAATAAGTAAAAAAAATAAAAATTACTTTTATAATTTTCCCGAATATTGCGTTTTTACAATTTTGAATGTGTAAAATAATTTCAGTATCTGATTGCCACTATAATTCACGACGACGATATGAGCAGCTAAATATCGGCACGTATGTTAAAAGGATATCAAAAGGTAATTAGGGAGTCCATAAACTACAGGACATACATAAATTAAACATGCTGTCGAGATCATCATCATCATCACCACGTAGCGCTACAACCCTGGGTGGGTCTTGGCTGACTGTACAACTTTTTTCCAATTTGTTCGGTCTTCCATCAACCTAGGGTCAAATGGAATGTTCATTTTCCGGAGATCTGCTTGGATTTTCCTCCTCCCATACCAGTTTCACAAGTCTTTCGTTATACAGTCTGTGCATGTGGCCTGCCCATCTTAGTCGCTGTGATTTAATTTCTTGGACAATATCGGCGTCGTTATAGAGTGCTTTTAATTCGATATTGCTTCTGATCTTATACTGGTTTGTGGTGATGTCATGGTGAGGTCCGAAAATTTTTCTAAGTATTTTTCGTTCAAAGCGTCTGAGCTTTTCTTCGTTGGCTTTGGTCATGGTCCACGTTTCGCATCCGTATGTTATTACAGGTCTAACGATGGATTTATAGATTTTGATCTTTGAACTTCTTGTGAGATTTTTTGATTTTATGAGCTTATCCAGTGCAAATAGACAGCGGTTTGTAGATTGGATTCTGTCCTTTATTTCTTCAGTGACATCGTTGTCAGCTGTGATTACGGCCCCCAGATACTTAAAACGTTGTACTCTTTCGAAATTGAAGGTGTTGACCGTCACATTTTGTCTTATTCTGTTTCTTCGTGTCGTTCTATTTATACACATATATTTCGTCTTCTCTTCATTAATCTTCAGCCCTGTCGAGATCATCGAAGATCACAAATTATATGATAGACCTGTGATTAGATTATAGAACGATTGTAGCATTTTCTTTTCCTCATATAAATCATGACAATCGAAACAGTTCCTACCTTTGCGGGTTTTAAAAGATTAGACCAAACGAACCCCGGCAGTATGTTTATAAATTATTGTTGAGTGCCGCTTTCAAGGAGATTTATTTACTGTCTCGCACTTTAATTCGTTTTTCTCTGTTCCGCCTATAGAATTTTTAAAAACAATTGCGCAGTTCTTAATAAGGATAGACAAATGATTGACCTTTCTTTTTAGTACGCATTAAAAAAATAAAGCGCTTAAAAATCCACACAGAGTGTATCGTTATGAGAAGAATTTTAGATCGGAGTCACTTTATGCATACTTCATTGATTACCATAAAACGTTCGAAACAGTAAAACACGACAAGCTGATGGAAATATTAACTAACAGATAAAGAAGGAAGACATATGTGAGAAATTCAGCTTATAATGCGAGGAAAAATAAGAGATACATCGATAGGAAGAAAAATCCATTATTAAAAATTTGCGTGAATGGTTTAACACCACCAATAACCATTTGTTTAGAGCAGCAGACTCAAATGTATGTCTCGTATGCAATGTCTTTATGATTGCTAACCTTGGAAGGCAAGGTCTTGCATGTCTTTATGAAGGATTGCATGTCTTTATGATTGCTAACCTTGGAAGGCAAGACAAGCACTTGGAAGGCATTTGATGAAATCCCACATGGAAAACTAATCGATATCCTAAAAACATCAGGACTCGATGGTAAGGATATAAGACTGATCTGAAAACTGATATCTCCAACAAAAAGCAACTGTACGATTAGAAAATGAACTGTCCGAGATCTTCACAGTCGAAAAAGGAGTTAGACAGGGTTGCATATTGTACCCGCATTATTTAACATATACTCTGAAAACATCTTTAGAGGGGCCTTGGACGAATAGAAGATGGGATTGCTGTAAATGGCCAACTTTTAAACAACATTAGATATGCAGACCAGTGGCGCACACAGGGGGGATTTTGAGGGTTAAACCCCCCAGGGCCCTATTCCAACACGGTTACTGGTTACTCACACATTAAGGACTCAAAATTGAGGTAGCGTCATAAAAAAAATTCGGTGCCTCCCCCCCTCCCCGAGGAAAATTCTGGGTGCGCTACTGATGCAGACGATACAGTGTTGCTGGCATAGAGTGCGCAGGAGCTTCAAAGGATGATGGATAACGTTGTAAAAACATGTAACAAATACGGCCTAAACCTAAATTGCAAGAAGACAAAAATAATTATCATTAGTAAGAACACCGGCATAAACGCCCAAATTACTATTAACGATACACCGTTAGAAAGAGTGGAAAAAATATGCTATTTGGGCTGCAATATTAAAAATACTTGGGATCACAGCTACGAAATAAAAACTCATATTGAAAAAGCCAGAAGCTCTTTCAACAGCCTTAGGAAGATTCTATGCAACTTATCTTTAAGTATCAATATACGAATAAGAATTCCTAGATGTTACGTCTTTAGTGTCCCTCCTCTATGGAGTAGTTGTGAAACTCTATACAGGAAAGCCAAGGAAAGTCTTAAAAGCGTATTTACTGTTTTATTATTGTATAAGTATACCTACCGACCTTGAGAAAGTTTCTATAGAGATTCTGTGATGGGAGCTCAATAAGAAAGAAGTTCTCTGTGAAGATTGCGGAAGACATGTATGAGGGAGTAACAGAGAGTGTTAGTACAGGTGTGGAAGAAACTGATAAATTTCATATGAACCTAGGATTGCTCCAGGACGTAGTGCTTAGTCCTTATTTGTTCTCATTAGTGTTGGATCAGATAACAGCGAAATTACGGGTACATTCCCTAGTGCTTAATGTATACTGATGATGTAGTGAAATGAAGGTTATGACATTGTAAGATTTGTGAAAAGTCAAAGACTGTCATGGCTGGGACATGTGCAGAGACAAAACGATGCAAAAACAACAAAGAAAATGTTACAATGGAAGCCCATAGGAAGGCGAAAAAAAGGAAGGCCCAGAACGAGATGGTTGGATGACGTGGAAGACGACCTGAAAACAATGAACATAAGACAATGGAGAAGAAGAGAGATCTGAATGGAAGGACATAGCCAGACAGGCAAAGACCCATCCAGGGTTATGATGCCAAAAGAAGAAAAAGATGATGTAGTGCTAGTATCAAAACACTATCCAATACAAAATGTTAACCTGGTCATACTTTTGCTTTTGGTTTGGTAAACCATAAAATAGGTCGTAATCTGTTGGAGTACTAAAGCATTTTTACCAGAAACAGTAGACTGGATGGTGTTAATTTTTTAACTCATTTCATCAAATTAATTATGGCTTTTTTCTTGTGCTCTCTTCTGCTTCTTATGGCTCTTATTTTACTTTTAGATGAAAATTAGTAATAACAATAGACAATAATGTATCTAGTACAAAATAATATTGACAGTAACTGTTAAACCATCAACCAATGGGGTTTTACCCATAATAAATAAATATCTTATACTTTTAACATGAAATCTATAATTTTGACCTTTTTCCCTCTTTGAGTATACAATATAATACCAATTGAGTACATTAGTAAACAGTAAACAGACTGTTTTTAATAACCCAGATTTCATCATTTTTTCTGTCCTTCACACTCAAATTACGCTAACAATGATTCAGTAAAGTTTTTTTATTTTTCACATACTTTCAAATATTGATTATTTGACCTGTAAAGATTTTTGATATTTCCAGTTAAGATTTATTCTTATTTTTTTCTTCTTCGCTAGTTGTGTTGTTTTGGAAAAGGATTATAATATTCTGGGCAATGATTAGGTTAGGGCACCCATCATAACCAAACTTATATATGACATTTAATGTAAGCTTAAATGGTGTCAGAGTTGCCATATCTTCAGTTTTTTCATATTCTTACATAATATAGAAATGCATTGAAATTATATAAAAATTCATAATTTTAATTAAAGATAATAATTAAATGCATTATACAATAAAATTGATTAAAATGATATAAAAAATTAATAGTATTAATTAAATTACCATATATAAGAGAAATGCATTGACAAGTGTCATTGTAGGGGGTTGATCATTCACACCTAATAATAAGAAGGCTAATAGACAAGATGTGGAAAGTGCTGTCAAACAATATTTATAATATTTAACTGCATTTAAAGTAACAGAAAATATTTATGAATGCTGCTTTATATTTATTCAAAACTTGTAGATTCTCATAACACAAATTATAATTTCGTAAAAGTAACTTATATTTTAAACCTTCATATACATTTTACAAAAAAATATATGGCAAGTTTTATACTTATTCAAAATTTGTAGCTTCTCATAACACAAATTATAACTTCGTAAAAGAAACTTTATATTTTAAACATTCATATACATATTTTACAAAAAAAATATGGCAACACTATGACGCGGCGCCTTGAGGAAATATCAAAGATATAGACGCTTAGCGTCTAAATAAATAAGCGTCTATATTCTTTGGAAATATATTTGGTTATGTTGAGTGCTCTAAACTAATCATTGTCCAATATTCTTATTACAATAATTTTTGTAGTTTGTTTTAATATAAAAGGATATAATAAGATGAACACATAAGTATATAGTTAAATGCTTTGTAAAAAAGCTGAACTTTATTAATTAGCAATCACAATAAAAAATATTAAAGCAAAATTATTTCTCATCAGATTTTTCCTTACTTTCTATAGTGTCCCCATCATTTTGTTTTCGTTTTGAAAGCATTCCTGGTCTATAAATTGCTATTGTAGGTCTATCTTTATTTCTAATTCTTCTTTGATTAAGTGAATCACCTTTATGGTTGTCATCCTTTTCAATAAAACTTGATTCTCTTTCTTTCTTTTTGTTGTCTCTTTCATCTTTGACAGTTGTATTATCTTCACTAGATTTTAACTGATCATCATTTTTATCCTTAGTAGGTGTTTCGGGTTTAGAAACTTTTTCACTGGCTTTATTATTACTACTACTATGCTCAGTACTTTTATTGCTATTATCATCAGTTTTCTTGTCTTCTACTTTTGCATCATCTTCTTTCTTTTGCACTGCTTTTTGTGCTTCTAATTTTCGTTCCTCTCTTTTTTCACTGTATTTTTTAACTTTTTTCGTATATGTTTTTGGTTCATGTTCCTTTTTGCTGTATTCATATTTTTTCTCCTTACGTTCATCACTCTTATAGTCAGGATATTCTTTTCTGGGATACCTTGGTTTTGGTTCCTTGCGTCTATCTTCAAATCTTCTATCATCATATCTTCTGTCTTTATTCTTATAATATGATTTTTCATAGTATCTTTCTTCTTTTTCAGGCTTTTCCACTGCAGATGCCTAAAATAAAAACATAAAGTAAAAATGGTGGATGTGAATTTCTAATAGTTATGAAGAATTGCAGTAAAGCTAGTATTATCAAGCCAATAAACTTAATAACCAAGTTTGACAAAGCTCAAACATGAAGAGGATAAGATATGTGGCAAATGAGTAAAGCATACCATGATGATAATCATAGTATAATAAATAGAGAAAAAAGGCAAAAATAACTACCTCAGGTTCAGTCTTTTCTGCTTTTGGATTTTCTGATTTTGAATGTGATTTCTTTGTAGGCGATTTTTCATCAGAGATTTTCTTTTTATCTCTATTATCTCTATCATCAAAGTGTTCTCTTCTTTTATCAAATTCCCTTCGTTTCCTTTCTTCCCTTCTAACTTCTCTGATTCTCATTCGTTGTGCCCTTTTACTCTTAATATACTCAAGCAGTGGCGTTGTAACATCATTTTTATTCTCACTTGAGCTTGTTAATTGAAGAGTATACTCAGGTTTCTCATCTACCTCTTGAGGTTTCTGTAAATTTTCTAGGAAATCTAGATAGTAGGGATCTGACTCAATACTACCAGCTTTTGGATCCATTCTTGTTTTCCCACGTTTCTTAGGAATTTTCTGAAAAGGAGCAAATTCGACCACACAAGGATATTCGCTACCTTTAGCATCAAGAAACACATAATTGTCAAATCTTTCTTTAAAGCTATACACATCATCGTGATGCACAAAATTAATATAGACTCTAGAAAATGCGTTTTCTCCCAAACTAAAGTCACCATTCACGGTATAAATGTAACTATAGTCAGGAATTGGGGATACTTGTTTTATAAAAGTTTCCTGTTCAATCGTAGGAGGTAAACGACGAATAATTACTTTGGTCAACGGTTTTTCCTTTTTATCTGATTTCTTTTCTGTTTCTGATAACGCCATTTTTTTTTTTTTTAATCTGAAATAGATATATTTACACTATTTTCCCATATGTAGTAAAAATTGTAATATTAATTTCTGACAGTTAAATTTTAACACATATTCTTTTTGCATATGACATTTAACTGTCAATGTACTATGCTGATGCTGTCAAGTCAGTAGGACTTTTCATCACAAAATAGTGTCAACCATTTTTTTTTTTGAACAGACATTTTGTAAACAAACAGAGATATATAATTAATATAAAATGCCAAAGAAAGTCTAGTTATTGAAAAAAAAATAAAGTGCCAGAATTAGCAAATAAATGTATTTAATCGATTATAAACCTATGACGTCGTCAAATCAAATCTATCTGTACGAAAAACATGGCGGGTGATGAAAAGCCTCTGAGAGACAAAAGATGATTCTACAATGTATTAGACAACCAGCATTACAATAGTCTCGGTAAAAGATAAAGAAACACCTGGAAATTTTTAACTATTATATTATTTATCTATGATTTTTAATTTGAACATGAAATATACTTTTATGCTTATTTACTTAAGCTTGTAAGTAAAAATATATATTAATCTGGCAAACGTTGAAAATTCAAACAAACTTTTCGGAATATTCCATTCTTCCAAAAAATGAAATCAACAAAAATATATTGTATGTAATCCAATGGGCTCCAACTAACAAGGAGTTCTGAAGATTTTAAACATACTATAATATAAACAACAATATAGTTATAAAACTAATAAGATTTTATTACAGAACAAATATAGACTTTAGAAGATGTACAGTTAACCAACTAAAACCAACTTTTTTTTTCTTAATCAGTTTTTGTAGCTGAGTTATATTAAATAATTAACTTTGAATGAAATGTCACAAATACAGAAAAAATAAATTGCGACAGAGGATATCTAACAGTGGATGTGACAAATCTAAACGTTAAATTTACATTATTCATTTAAACTTTTGAGGAACCAACCCGTTTAACTCTACCTGCATTGGTTGTGAATTGTGTAGCCCTATACCTTGTTTGTACACCGAATGTACAGTCTCAAATCTAGTCAAATAAGGAGGGGCAGAGAAGTAATACCTTTAGAAAAACTAATGTTGATAGCATCCTGTAACGGCTTGTTAACTAGGGTTACAACAGTGATGAAAGTGGAGAAGGAAAATACTCTAAACGGCTATTTTGGCAGTGATGAAACCCTGGCTTTTGGGCAAAGTATAGAAGAGTATCCATAACGATTACCGGTATAAGCAATGTCCTCTTTCTTAGCCAATAAATTAGGGTGGAGAAGTCGGTAAGAGTATAAGAGTAAGGGCACTTTCTTGTCATTTGAAGGATAAATCTTTCATATAAGAGGTGATCGAAAGTGAGTGTAAGTTCAACTGTATGAAGATGCAGAAATTAACGGGAAACCACTTCATTAAGGGTTAATAAGGAAAATCTATTACACGATAAAGGGAAAGAAAGAAATAGAAGAACTTTGTTCACATGAAGGGATAACCGAAATATGAACTACTACATGTAATTATTCAGGGGAAAATAGAAGGTAGATGTTGTATCGCTTCTGAGTGATAATCACTATGGCTCAAGAACCACCGCCAAGTAGTAGAAGTCAATCTCATAATACTACTTAGGTCTGTCGCGCAGAAAGTCGATACACAAAGATCTTTCGTACAATATATCTCCTAACCCATATATTTCCTTAATATGAATCTTCATTAGTCCAACAAGTCCCTGTAAGTGTCAACTTTACAACAACCGTGAACTAATAATTCCCAATCCACAAAATGTCTTCATAAAATTGAACCCCTGCGATTAAGTTTGTAAACAACATAATTAGATGAAGAAAATAAAATAACTATATACCAAAAAGTACATAAAAACCTTTCTTTTCATACAAAAAATATTAAAGATGTAAAACATTGGTACAGAAAAAAGCTCCTAGCGGGAATTGAGGAAGTCATTTTTCAAGCAGTGCGACAGTATAGGCGAAATAAAAAAATAACGTTCTATTAAATATAGGACGCTTACAGAATTTTTCTTTTTAAATATATCCACTAGTATCAATTTCTATACTATAGTGAACGTTCATGAGAGCCAAGCCGTTCAGTCTGCTTTTACAAGTATTTTTAAATCTTCTTAGGCTCGAAAAAGTCGATTCTGGGGTAGCAGTAGAAACAGGTATAGTAGCCAATATTTGCAACAATGTGTAAATATTTACCTAACGCACTTACCTAAGCATTCCAAAGCTGAGTTTGGAGTAGAGAGTCAAAGACGCTTTCCACACGTCTGGAACCAAAGTTCTGCTTTGATCACAGATGTACTTTTTTCGGGCAGCATTGCCAAATACATACAAAATGCCTCTTCAATTTCACATTCATCCTAAAAATTTGACGGTGTTACATCAGATAGTGTCTACCGACGATATGTGGCATAAGCAGGATACCACTATTTTCTTCGAGCAACACCTTTATTTCTTCATAGATGTGGAGGTACTCGTCATCTTCATGTCTCAAAAGATATTAATAACATAAAAATGGTTGGTATGAGGTCTGCATTAATTGCATGCAGTTGCTTTCATAGCGTCAATGTATAGCTCACGATTTTTTTGAAGAATCACTGGGTACTAACAAAATTCGAAGATCGAAGTGTGTTAAGCATTTAGACGAGGCGCGGCGCAGCGTATTTATTGTAGTTAGATTCGAGTTCTTAGAGAATAAATTTCCTTGAATCGTATGGCTTCATGCTTGTGAATCCACTGTGTTTAGCACATCTCAAGCAAATTTTTGATGATCAGCCTGCAACAGATCCCGCATTTTTCTTTCAAACAACAGTACTTTGAGCCGAATGCCTAAAGTAGGAACCAACAGATTGCACGTACCAACGCCATTTCGAACAAATATAAATAGCAAGAAGACATTGTTGACGAATATATGCTTGGACACCGTACAAATACCCACTCACAACTGCACTCCATTGTAACTGATCAACCACCTAAGAATATTCAAATCCATGCTTTTTCTTATTAGTTTTGTATAATAGCGAAACTAAAGGGTAACATTCCCACAGGGTGTTTACTTATGCTGATGATAATAGGAAATATTGAAAGCGAATTTGAACAAAAACTGGAACAAAATGGAGAAATAGAGGGAGATAAATGCAATAGAATGTTTTACACCTGATTGAACTTGCATCATTGGGAATGGTGTTCCATTGACATGTTTTCCTCACAAAAATATCCACAAAGCCACATGACAATCACCAGACGGTCAAACAAAAAACCAAATTGACCATTTACTAATTGATAATCGACATTTCTCGGACGTACTAGATGTAAGAGCATGTAGAGGTGCTAACATAGAATCTGACCACTACCTTATAAGAACAAAACTCAGGGCTCGTAAATCAAACGCTAAGAAAGGCCAGAGCACAAAATCTACGAAATATAATACTGATGTGCTCAAATCTGAAGACGCTAGGGATAACTACAGGAAAATTTTAAATAAAGAGCTGACAAGAAGCTATACATACAGCGGCTAAAGGCTTGTTAAAACCTAACCAGGGTAAAATAAACGAAGATTGGTTTGACGAAGAATGTAGATCCATTAACCAACGGAAAAATGAAGCATATAAGACTTCAGCAGCGCAGAACGAGATCAAACCTGGAAGACTATGAAAATATTAGACGAAAAGAAAAAAAGACGTTTAGAAGGAAAAAGAAAGAGGAATACGAAAACCCCTAAACGAGCCTGTTAACCACCACAATAGAAAAGACTCGAAAAAATTCTGCAGAAAACAATCCAAACCCAGAATAACAGCATGTAAAGACAGAGATGGTTCCATAATTAGTGACAAAAAACATATACTAAACAGGTGGGCGAATCATTGTGAAGAACTGCTTAGAGACAGTTGTGAAGAAGACCAATTAGAAATTACTTTGCCTGAAATGGATGAAAATGCTCAACCCCAGAAGAAATTAAAGAAGCCATTTCAATACTGAAAAATAACAAAGCCACTGGTTTGGACAATCTTCCTGCCGAACTCTAAAAATGGTGGTGACACCCTTTTTAAACACATCACGTCAATTAAACGTTTTAAACACATCACGTCAACATCAGTTAAGTGAAAGAGGAACAATGAATGTATGCTGCGGAAATGAGAATGCTTATATGGATGAGTGGAGTGACAGCAAAATGAGAGACCATAGGGTAAGATGGTTTGGTAATGTTCAATGTTGAGACGTTAATCACCTACTACGAAGAATTGCTGATCTTAGGTTCCTGGAAGGAGTAGGAGAGGAAGACCTAGGAAGGGACGCTTAGGCAGAACATGTCGGTATAGTGGATATGCCCCAAAATAGAAACTTATGTAGAAATGTATAAAGTGCCCCATCCCTAAGGGCATTGGCGATCATCATGGCACCTTTGACCCTATCTATAAATGTGATTAGGAAAGCAGATTCCGTATATAATGAAGTCAAAGAGCTAATATTTCATGTTGTGAGAAACTGTCCATAAGATGGTACTTCTTTCTGCTTTCTTTGCATTCACGTTAAGGCCTCATTGTTCACCTTTTCTCAGTACTTTATTTAATAAAGTTTGCAGTTTTTTTCACATCCTGTAATCTACTGTGTTGTCGGCATACCAACAATTTGCTCAATAAATTTTATACCCTTTCATGGCCCATCTTAAATAATAGGGTGCATGTTGAATGATAATGATAAAGAGTTTGGGTGGTTTCCATTTCAATATTTCTCACTTCTATTCCTTTTTTAAAATTCATATAAAAAATTATCACTACTCAAAATTTAGATGTTTCTATACTGTTTCCTTTTCCGGTATTATTGTAGCAATATATTGCTTTTTAAATTAAATCTGAATCAACTGATTTGAGACTCCGATCGAACACACTGAATCGAATCCCAAAGATAATGCTAGAAACATTTTTTTACCAGTAAGTTATACAAGAAATCAAACAAGTTTTTCGTAATAAAATAAATTTATTTATATCACAGAAAGATACAACCATACACATTATCAAACATCAACGGATTTCGTTATTAACAATAGGCCTTTTCATCACGTGAAGAGCGCATGAG